TATCCGAAATGTCGTTCCCTACATTAAGATATATACATTAGTCGATATTAAATGTCTGTACCTGTTGCACTTCTCCATAAATAAGAGGATTTGTTCCTTTAAAACCGCTTTTGTCCTTATTTATGGGCGTGTGGACTCCACCCACCTTCATCGTATCCGAAATGTCGTTTCCTACATTAAGATACATACATTAGTCGATATTAAATGTCTGTACCTGTTGCACTTCTCCATAAATAAGAGGATTTGTTCCTTTAAAACCGCTTTCGTCCTTTTTTATGGGCGTGTGGACTCCACCCACCATCATCGTATCCGAAATGTCATTCACTACATTAAGATACATACATTAGTTGATATTTCGTGTCTGTACCTGTTGCACTTCTCCATAAATAAGAGGATTTGTTCCTTTAAAACCGCTTTCGTCCTTATTTATGGGTGTGTGGACTCCACCCACCTTCATCGTATCCGAAATGTCATTCACTACATTAAGATACATACATTAGTCGATATTTTGTGTCTCTACCTGTTGCACTTCTCCATAAATAAGAGGATTTGTCATTTTAAAACCGCTTTCGTCCTTATTTATGGGCGTGTGGACTCCACCCACCTTCATCGTATCCGAAATGTCGTTCCCTACATTAAGATACATACATTAGTCGATATTAAATGTCTGTACCTGTTGCACTTCTCCATAAATAAGAGGATTTGTTCCTTTAAAACCGCTTTCGTCCTTATTTATGGGCGTGTGGACTCCACCCACCATCATCGTATCCGAAATGTCGTTTCCTACATTAAAATACATACATTAGTTGATATTTTGTGTCTCTACCTGTTGCACTTCTCCATAAATAAGAGGATTTGTCATTTTAAAACCGCTTTCGTCCTTATTTATGGGCGTGTGGACTCCACCCACCTTCATCATATCCGAAATGTCGTTCCCTACATTAAGATACATACATTAGTCGATATTAAATGTCTGTACCTGTTGCACTTCTCCATAAATAAGAGGATTTGTTTCTTTAAAACCGCTTTCGTCCTTATTTATGGGCGTGTGGGCTCCACCCACCTTCATCGTATCCGAAATGTCGTTCCCTACATTAAGATACATACATTAGTCGATATTTCGTGTCTGTACCTGTTGCACTTCTCCATAAATAAGAGGATTTGTTTCTTTAAACCCGCTTTCGTCCTTATTTATGGGCGTGTGGACTCCACCCACCTTCATCATATCCGAAATGTCGTTCACTACATTAAGATACATACATTAGTCGATATTAAATGTCTGTACCTGTTGCACTTCATAAATAGGAGGATTTGTTTCTTTAAAATGTGCTTTTCTCCATATTTATGGACGTGTGGACTCCACCCACCCTCATCGTATCTGAAATTTTGAAGACAACATACATTAGGATCAAGAGACTATTGTTGTACCTGTTACTGATGTAAGCTCACAACTACATGTACTGTGAAACATTAATATAACATACCGTACATTAGGATCAAGTCAAAGACACTGCTCTTATGCGTAGTATGTCAAAGGAAGAACCTTCAAT